AGCATATCATTGAGCCACCCTCACTTTGGGGTAGGTTCTTGCGGTGCCCGACGTGCGGGCTTGACGGGTGATGCCAATTAGTCGTCGAACCACCAAGTGAGCGATCGACACAACGGGGATGTAGCTGGGTGGCAACCAAGTGAACCTTGGGAGAAAATTACCGTATCAACATTGTCTTCATCATCTTCTCGGTGGTTTGCATTCCACGCAACACAAGCTTCTATTTACATTTTATATATTGTTCTTATGTAGTTGCTCTTGTAATTAGTTAGCTTGTGTAGCTTGCTAGTTACCTTCTTGCTTGTGTAGCATAGAAGTAGCCCTCTTGCGTGACTAATTTGGTTTGAGTAACCTTGTTAGTCACATGCTTAGTTTGTGTAGCTAAGTAATTTGTGCTCTCTAATTTGGCTTGTGTAGACATGTTATTGAGCATTGCTAGTGAGCTTAGGAGCTTTGTGCGCTTTGCATCACTAGTTGTGTAGGAGCTCCCCCGGTTGCTTGAAGTACTAGTTGCATAGGTTTGTGTGACTTTACAAGCTAGAATTGTTAGGTGAGCTCTACCTAGTCCGTGACCTTTGTTGCCTATTTAGGATTTTTGTAATGTGCTTGAAACTTAGATACAGGGGTGTAGTCTTGGCTAGACCGATAGTTTTAATTCCGTATTTGTTTCGGTTAGCCGGCACGTTTAATTTTTAGATAGGACTATTCACCCCCCTCTAGTCCGCCATCTCGACCCTACAAAATGTTTATTTTATAGTGCAATAGGATGCAAATGCGGATTGGACCAAGATTGGAACGTGAAGAATATGATCAACACTCAAAGGAAGACACTAGAGGATGTGTGATCAACCTAGAAGTGAAGCTAGGAGTCCAAGACACGAAGATGAAGAATCCCGGAAGAAGGATCAAGAAGAAATGAACAAAGGGAAAAACTGCAGCTGGCACCGCCATGTCCAGTGCATAGCACCGGACAGCACTATGTGCACCGGATAGGGGCACCGCCCTATTTTTCAGCACGCGACACACTTTCGTATTTTGGGCATAACTCTTAACTCCGAACTCCGATTTGGATGATCTTAGACATTTCGGAAAGCTAATGAAAATCTCTACAGCCCTGAAAAGGTGGTCTTTGGTTTTGAGCTGAAGAGGGCACCGCCATGGTCACCAGACTGTCTGGTGGTGGCACCGCCCTAATTTTCCAAAGAGCACCGTTTTTGGGGGTTTGGCCTGGGTGGTCACCGCCACCCCTAAGGTGGTGCACCGCCACCCTATGTCCGGTGCCCACCTGTCCAATGGCTAGTTTGAAATAGCCATTGCAATTCGACCGTTGGGGCACCGCCACCCTATGTTCGGTGCCCGCACGTTGCTGTCCAGTGACAACGTAGAAAAGTGCTTCTCATCTCCAATGGCTAGCTCTCCACTTGGAGGCTATAAATACCACCTCAACCGGCCATTTGGAGTAAGAGGGATCTGAGGGAAGATAGGAGGGTGTTGCCACACCTCATTTGTGTTCTCCACTTGCATAGGGCTTAAAGAATAACTTGGTGATTAGTGTAGGTGCTTTGCGAAGCGCTTAGGTTAGTTAGACCACTCTCATATGCGCTTGCTCTAGGCTTAGGTCTAGCTGATACTGAGGTTTGCATACCTATCATCGAAAGGTGCTTGCACACAGCGTGCTTGTACTCGGCGGGCTTGTAGTCTTGTGAGACCACACCAACCACGTTTGTGGTGTGACCGCCACCGTGTACCGAAGGGAATAAGACCCGTGGCGTTTCGGCCGGAAGCTTGATAGTGAACATGGCGGGGAGCGGTCCGGGAGAGGCTTGCCAGAAGGCAGACCGAAGACCCACTTGCGTGTGGGAAAGGCCTGGGGCTATCCACGGAGTTACCTGACCGAGAGCTTGGCCCTTGCAAGGGATTCCTTGCGAGGGGCTCTAATAAGGACTAGGGGGAAGCTTGAGCACTTCTCAATACCTCGGTAAAAATACCAGAGTCATCGTCAGGAGTTTGCATCTCTACCTCACCTTTACCTTCCGCATTTACATTGCTACCTTGGTTGTGCACTTTACTTCCCTAGCTTAGTTGATAGGCTAGTTGGTAGGATTGGAACCTAAGTTGCATAACTCTTTTGCGGTAGAGATAGCAACACACCTAGTAGAACCTAGTTGCACATTTAGATAGATTACTTTCTTGCATAGGTTTTGACTAGGTGGAATTAGAGGCCTTAGTTAGAAGTAGAATTTTAAGTTGCCTAATTCACTCCCCTCTTAGACGTTACGGTCTCTTACATAGAGTCCAAGTTCAAGGTTTCTAATGTTGGTTGTTAGCTATATATCATGGAGCAACTATATGACTACAAGATTGTCCAAGTCCATTTTGTAGTAGAGCAAACTTAGGAGATACATGCACTAGCAAAATAAGTTGAGAACTTGGTTGTGTGCTGACAAGTTTGTGGCAGTCAACATTATTTCTAAGTTGTGAGCACCATTTGGACATATATTGCCAGTTTGCCTCTCCTCTAAAATAATAGACAAAAGTTTGGCATTGTTAAATATATAAGGAAAAGGGAAAAGACATTTGGGCCAAGAAGCTTGAGTATAGTTACAGTGCCAATATGGTGCAAAAGAAGAAATCTCAAGCTTTCCATAATAACAAGTCAAAGGAGCATTTGTGTCTGTAAAATGCAATACGTAACTACCTAGAAGCCAATGATGAGTCCATTATATTGGTGGTTAAGAGGAATGACTATAAAATAAACATTTTTTTCTTAGCGGCTACAATAATTTATTGTTTGCACCCAAGGAAACGAGCACTTCTATGGAGGTTTCCAATCACACCTAAGGAAATATGCATTTTCTTTGGCAGTGTGATATACCTAAGAAATGTTGAATTACCTTGGCAGTTTCAAATAATACTCAAAGAAATATAGAATTACCTTGACAATTTTGAATAGCACCTAAGGAAATGTAGAATTAGCTTGGCGGTTTGGAATAGCACTCAAGAATTATGCATTTCCTTGGAGGTTTCCTACCATTGCCAAGGTAATGATATATCCTTAAGGGTTCAATTTCGCCCACTTAAGGAATTTATTAGCCGACAAGGCTATTCTATCTTCTGGTAGTGACTAGCCCAATTGCCGCCTGTGGAATGACTAGATACCACTTGGGCTAACCCGTTATTAGCTCACATGTTGTAGTATTCTTACCCATCGGTTACACAAGTACTTCGTGAGTCCTTCATGAACCCCTTACAAAGAAAGAATAAGCACGCTCAGGCAGGTGGAACTCGAAAGTCATGGTCAAGGGGAGTGGCTAAAGCACTCAACTGAGGCAGAGACATCATCATTAATATTATTTAATTTTGATCATAAAGCACTTGGGGTCTTCATATGATGACATGGCCCACATATATCATTATGGTGGATAAAATTAACCAATCCTCTTGTCTAGGGTGGTCCGAGCGAACTACATGGAGCCCGACATCCACCTAGGGGATCTCACCAACTGAGTAAATATACATGTACCCCGATTTGTCAGGATTTGGTGTAAACTAACTGGCCTTGTTTAGATTGTCTCAAAGTTTCAAGTTTTTTCACTCTCTCTTCATCACATTAATTTTTGGACGCATGCATGGAACATTAAATGTTGGTAAAAAAAGTAATTAATTGCACAGTTTAGTTGTAAATCACGAGAACGAATCTTTTGAGCCTAGTTAGTCCATGATCAGATAAAATTTATCAAATACAAACGAAACGTGCTACGGTGTCCAGATTGCAAAAATTTGCAATCTAAACAAGGCCTAGGAACGAATATGTACACCAATCATCCATATGTAACCCTGCACCCCTGCAGAGTATAAGTAGGGGTAGAAAGCCCCTTATCTGTATCTCTCACATCTTCACTCACCCCTGAGAAAACGGTGAACAAGCAATAATACAAGAAGATACACATAGACATATATCACCCTCTGTATGAACTGGTATAAACTCCATGTCCCATGTGTTACCATCTAGATGTACACCAACACACGCCATAGACGTACTCTGAGTTGTGTAACCACGAAAGATCAGTGGCGTACGCTAGACACCCTTGACTTTATTAAGGATGGATAGCAACACTAGTATTCATCCACAGACCAGCCAACCATATGGATGTGGACACATATCCTTGCGTGTAAAAATCAATCACCAGAATATTTTTGTGAAAACTTGGAAAGAAAATTTCATAAAAGAAAAGAAAATGAAATACTCTTTCTGTCCATAAAAGAATGTAATTATGGACTCCATATCGGTCAAACTTAGTTTAACCGAGTTTATAATAAATAGTATTAGTATTTATATCTTTAAATAAATTTGTTATAAAAATATATTTTATAACTAATTTAACGATATTTATTTTATATCATAAATATTAGTATTTTTTTATATAAATTTAGTCAAAATTTAAACTGTTTAACTTCTCGAAAAATGATGCAGCCGCCCTGGTGTGCTCGCCCTCCGGAGCTCGACGTGACGACGCAGTGCCACCGCGGGCGTGCTCGCCAGCCGGGCACGCGGCACGGCACGCATCAATCATCAAATCGGATTTTACAAACTTTGGGGCTCTCCTGTTTGTCTTGACGTGAAAAAATCGTCAGTCACACCATATATAGAGGGTAAAAAAACAAAATCCTAACTTGATCGCCATGCACACAAATCTAGATAATGCTGTAGAAAAGTTAGGGTCTTTTTTAAGCAGCACAATGCAAGGCAGTCAACTGAAAAAAATAAACAAATAAAATTGCACTGCTCTACGCGTGACGGGGATTGGCTCCATGGCATTGTGCGGTGGATGTGGTGGGAGCATGTGCTCTTAGGGACACGTTTAACTTTACCTCCAAATGAACTTGATTTTCAGTGGTTGCATTGCATTCGAATTAGTCATCTGAAGTCCACGCTTGACTGGATGGACATGGACAACAATTGGACGTCCTCTTACATACGTATGTCAAGGACGACTCGGATGGGTTTCCTCCCACTGCCGGCGTCTCATCCATTCCAGTCTAAGCTGCTTGCCTCCACTGCTGCTCCTCTCACTCTCACTACAGTGCTTGCTATTGCTATGGCTGCCGCCGGTGATGATCAAGCAGGGTCCGCGGTGCCGGCTGTGGCACTGAGGTCCGGCAAGCCGATGCCGCGGATAGGCCTGGGCACGGCATCCTTCCCGCTCGGGGACGCCGGGGACCGCCCAGTCGTACGCGAGGCCCTCCTGCGCGGCCTGGACGCCGGCTACCGCCACTTCGACACGGCCGCGGTGTATGGCACGGAGCGCGCGATCGGGGATGCCGTGGCGGAGGCCGTGCGTGCCGGGACGCTCGCCTCCCGGGACCAGGTCTACATCACCTCCAAGCTCTGGATCGCGGACGCGCACCCTAGCCACGTCCTGCCGGCGCTCAGGAAGACCCTCCAGTACGTAGCCAATGCATGCATGCAAGCATATGGTCCTCGATAGTTGCTGATAATAATTGATAGCCGCCGGACCGGGGCCGCGGCCGTTCAGGAATCTGCAGATGGAGTACGTGGACCTGTACCTCATCCACTTCCCGGTGAGCATGCGGCTGCCGGAGGCGGAAGGAGGGGCGGGACCGGTGCTGGCAAAGGAAAACCTGGTGGAGATGGACATGAAGGGAGTTTGGGAGGAGATGGAGGAGTGCCACAGGGGAGGGCTGGCCAAGGCCATCGGCGTCAGCAACTTCAGCTGCAAGAAGCTAGAGTACCTGCTCTCCTTTGCCAAGATCCCTCCGGCAGTGAACCAGGTTAGTGATTGGATTCCGTTTCCTTTGGATCTGATGACGACGTCCAACACCAGGACCAAGCAAACCATGCGTTTTTCTTCTTTCTCTGATCTGATGACGACGTCCAACACCGACGACGACCTCCGATCCACCGCCCCGCCCTACCGCCGGTCCGGCCCTGCCGGCGTCGCTGTCCCCAATGTAATTAAGCTACCACTGTTAGTCAAAGCTTTTACGTTGAATTCTGTTTAATTAGTTGGTTTAAGTCCATTTCTTTCGGTTGAGTGATTGAGTCCAACGTGGACGCGCGAACACGAATTCTGAAGATATGAGTCGAGAACCGCTTGCCCGCGGTCGGATTCGGATGCTGATCAGGTCAGGACGCACGTCACGTGGCTGTGGGGATATATGATGGACGCGCGCAGTCGGATGCATGGTCCTCTTCGAGTTTCAGGTTTTCGCGTCTGTTTGTTTGTCCTCGCTGGTGCAGATGCAGTGGTGCTACACGTTCTGGCGACGTCTCACAACCACACGCCACAGCAACAGGTCCACCAGCCACCAGCCACCTACTTATGGATTGGGATATGAAGTTATTTTCAGACGCTAGCGATCTCTGTTACTGCTGTGGAGTCTTAGGGAACGGTAATGACAGGCCCCATATGTGAAAGCCACTTCTCTAGTGATATAATCGCCCTTGGCATATATAGGAACCCATGTAAGCCTTTAATCTGTATTCGTCCTTTGATCATTGTTTCTGCGCTTTCAGTCGGTTGTTTCGCTGGCTGCTGCATTTCATTTGAGGTGCAATGTGCTGCCTCTTTGTTCCAAACTGTAATACGTTTTGTTTTTTTAATACATTGTTTTTATTATATATCTAGGCATAGTGTATATCTGAATGCATAGAAGAATATGTAAGAGGGAGTATGTTTTATTCATCTTGTTTGCACGTGTCTCACTGAAATTAGAGCAGGTGGAGGTGCACCCGTGCTGCCGGCAGAACAAGCTGAGGGTGTTTTGCAGGGAGAAAGGAATCCAGCTCTGCGCTTACTCTCCACTGGGTGGCAAGGGAGCACCATGGGCCAACAATTCTGTCATCAACTGCCCTCTCCTCAGGCAGATTGCCCATACAAAGGGCAAAACCGTCGCCCAGGTGACTCACTGTATAAGTAGATTTCGTTTTTCCATAATCTGAGCATTTTATTTACTACGAAGTGTTGCTTGTTACCACCATGGAAACAAGTCACACGGATAGACATAATTTTAGAGAAGAAATTAAAGATACAAAAATTCAGTGGGCTGCCTTGGCTGATTATACTAGCTTATTTGGAATGGTGCAGGTGTGCATTAGGTGGGTGTACGAGCAGGGCGATTGCTTGATAGCTAAAAGCTTCAACGAAAAGAGGATGCGAGAGAACCTCGACATCTTTGACTGGCAACTCACGGAAGACGAGTGTCGCGAGATTAGCACACTCCCAGAATCGAGGGGAACCTACGATTTCTTCGTCCATGAATCTGGGCCGTACAAAACTGCCCAAGAGTTTTGGGATGGTGAGATTGTGGCTGGCCAGGCTAACAATAGTGCTTTGAGTTTGGATCCTACCAACTGAACTGATCAGTGTGCTAGGTTTTACTAGTAAAGAAAACTCTATGCTTTCATTCCATTTACTAGGTATATACTATGTTTTTTTTTATATTTTGCATGTATTTTTAATCTTGGATATATGCAAACTTTTAGTTCCAAAAAAGCTACTATTTGAAGATGTATTTTCTATAAATAAATAATTTTATTAATTAACAATTGTTATATCAAGTTCATATATGATTATTCATCCCTGACCTCTACATAAAAGCCCACAATTTAATTAAAAAAAAAAAAAAAGGCTGGTGGTCATGTCTTCAGTTACAGTTCAGTTGTTTCTTTCTGAAACCACAGCTTAAGAAGGCCTGCTGGGCATATATTTGAAGAACAAGAATTTTATTTTTTGAATTTGCATGAGGTCTGCATATATCTTTACATTAAGATACGCGCAGGGCTAGAGACGTGCTCGGGGTTTGTCACTTTGTCCATTGAATTACAACTAGCAGGCCAACTAATAAAGGAGACTCACCCTGACTCTATAACGCTCGCCTAAATTCAGCTCTTAAGCACCTCGCGTTATTCAATATATGACTATCTAAATATTACTACTTTTTCATGATAATTCTTATGAGAAACGCTAAAAATATAAGTTTATAGAAGATTCAAATAAAAACTACAAGCATAGGGAAATCAATTCCGTAGAGCCTAACCATTTATATTTCCGTTTTTGAAATGAGTAAAATTTCCATGTGGTCTAAAGTTGGCAAGGTTGCCGTCATGATCCTTGTACTCTCAAAATGCTAATTTTTGCATATTTGTAACCCATATGTGAAGCCAAAGAATAATAAAATATACCACCTGCAAAGAAGAATAAGTATGCTTCTTTTCGAACATCAAGACCAGCAAGTAGCTGCTACCTCAAGAAGAAATAAAGGTTTAAATCCCTCCCAAACCCCTGAAGCCAACTCATGAACATGTGAAAAAAATACGAGGTTAATAAAGGCTTAAAGCAATGTACATGTAGGCCAAAACCATACGGGCAAAATGGCATTCAAGGGAGAAGTGAATCACCTCATTTTTATGGTCACAGGCTCACAGCAAATTGTTCCCTGCCTTGCCAATTGTATTTGGCTAAGTTATCTTCTAGTAAAATGATTCCTATACGAAGATAATAAAGGAAAAAAATATTTCTAGTGGAGACTACAACTACCAAATGATTTTGTTTAATTTTAGGTACATTCAAACCAGTCTCCACAAAATGTTTAGAGGTGAAGTGCTAAAGACCTCATCTATAGTAAATATCTTGCTGCACCCAAAATTTTCTACTTTGGGATGCGACTAGAAATCACTAAATAAAGTGAAAGACTTTATCATTTTTCTAAATTATCCAACACTTATTTTAGTTGTTAATAATTTCGATGATGAAAATTGTGTTTTAATGGAAATGGTATTATCCTCTGTTAAAAAACGATGGTGAGGAATGTGAGTTTCTAAAATGTTTAGAAATGAATTCAATTGTTTGTTGAATTTCATACCTATGCATAGTGTTTATAACTGGAAAATGATTATTATTAACTATGCCTATGGTTTGTGACCCAAAATGTCAAGTTTTGGAAAAAAAATCCCTAATTGAACTGTCAAAATTACCAAAACCCACATCAAGTCTCAAAACTCTCACCTGATGTGGCACCACTCCTCTTAACTGCACATCTTCTTTTGCTCTATTAATAAGGATTGTTAACGTGTTAGAAACAATGTTGAACAAAAGAGGAGATAGAGTGTTTGCTTGACGAAGGCATTTATTTGATTGGAAAAAAGTATCCAATCCCACCTTACATTAATTTCCATACTACCACCCATGATAAAATTTCAACCCATTTGATCCATTTGGGCGAAAAACCTTTCATACGTAGCATTTGTAGCAAAAATGGTTATCTAACCTTGTCATGCTAACTCAAAACCTATTTTGAAAATGACCCAGTTTAGTTTCTTCCTTTGTAGTTTGTGTACTGTATCATGCAGGATAACATCCCCTTCGAGGATGTTGCATCCTCTCATTAAAGCCCATTGAGTTGGGCACATTACATGATCAACCATTTTATTAACACAATTAGTAGCTACTTCACTAAACATTCTAAAACAACGTTCAACAGGAAAATAGGCATATAGCTCTGTATTTGATTTTCTTCTAGCACCTTTGGAATGGGGATTATAACACCAAAGCTCAAACTAAACAATGGCAAATCCCCTTGAGAAAATCATCTACAGTAGATCGCCTTTAATTACTTCCCAAAAGTTTTGGTAAAACTCTACTCGGAAACCACCTGGGCCAAGTGCTTTGATATGTTCCTTGATGCATCCTAAATTTCTTTTTCAGTAAATGGGGAGGTTAGGAATTCAGTTTCTAATGGTATAACATGTGGTATGTTATTAATCCTAAAGCTATCTATAAGGGCATACAAGGACGCCTCTGGTGGCCAAGATAGTTCCTTATGACACTTGGTAATATACTCTTTAAGGTTTTTCTATCCTTCAATCTTTAATTTCCATCCTCCTGATCAAGGGAGGAAATGTGCTTCCTCTCATGCTTGCCACTGTCAATTAGTTGTAAGTACCATGTATTATTGTCTCCCAAGAGGACATACTTCACGCCTTAGCCCTTTGGAAATATTTAATTTTCTCTTCTATTAGTAGCTAAGAACCCATCTATGACCGTTAGGGGCGACTCTCCAAGCGTCCCTGCGAAGCCCCCACATCCCGTCGGTTCCCCACCGGCGACCCGTTCAGAGGCCGGGGAACAGAGCCTGGAAGGTGGACGCGGCTCCTGCTCGGTGCCGGATGCAGCGAAGACTCCAACTCCGACAGCAACTGCCACATCGGACGCGCATCAGGAGGAGGATTCCGTTGAGGAGAGGGGCCCACTGAGGCGGCTAGAAGGCGATCTACGCCGGCGCCGCCTTACCCTCGCTCCACGCCGTGAACCGACCGGCAGCGAGTTAAGGCATCAGGTACGTGATTGTGTTACAGGTGCAGGCAAGGCCGATGACGAAGCGGACGCAGGTGGAAACGACGACGTTGCGATCGCGCCCAGGTCTGTCGAGGAGGCAACAAGGATGATCGACGAAGCCGCCGTACTAAAGTTTCAGGACGACGGAGTTGCAGGGCTCAAAGAAATCAATAGTGTACCAAGTAACAACAGCATCGATTTCAATTCAAGGAAAGGGCCTGAAAACGATGAGACTGTTTTGGTTTCAAATTCCCTTTCAGGTTATGCAAAGTGTGTAGAATCAGCGATCCTTGTCGGGCATACCGCTCATGAGGCATACAATTTTGCTGATGAAACCTACCACGCTGCAATCCTAGCAGGTTTTTCCACACAAGAGGCTAGTGATTTCGTCCGCGAACAGAGATTTGGCAAAGCCACTCTGTTATCGACGGTGAAAGTTCCTAGTTCCGACAACGATATGCGCGAAAAATTCTGGATTGACATCGGTTTTCCTAAAGAAACAAGATGGTGGGAAATTGAACATCAACCATCGGCACAGAATGAAAATTCTTTGGGCATTGAGGACATGGCCATGCCACCTCAACCTGAACCCAAGAATCAAACTTCAGTAAGACCTCTTGGACGAACGGTTCCAAAACGCGGAATCGCGATCCGTCCATGGAAGGGCCCTTTGCCGAGGCCACGTTCACGGCGGCGGTAACGTTGGCAACTTTCATGCCACCGGAGCGGAACAACAGACCACAAGCTAATTTATGGCATGATCAGCGGACGTTTCAAAATTCAAAAGCTATCTCTGAATGCCAGAGTAAATCAGTTTTAATCGAACATGCAAAACATTACGGCCGTTCCTAGTGGGACCTGTTGCCTCGTGGGCCCAGCGATCAGCTAAGGAATCGTGTGGCTTCCAAATACGATGCAACCTTCCCTCCGATCGGCAACATCGCATCGACACCTCTCTTGCATGCCGCCTCGCGACCTGATCCAATTGCCGCCGCCGCCACACACCCCTCGTACGCCAACATGGCTGGACGACAGCCACCCACCAATCGCCACAACTCCAGTGGGTTCAACTTCAATCGTGAGCCTCCGAGGGACCGGATCAATGACCGCTTTCGTCATGATGGGCGGGGTCTAGGTCCGAGCAGAGGCCGTGGTGACCATGGAGGACCAGGTCGAGGACGTGGAGACGGCCACGGTCATGGTCGTGGCAATGGAAGGGGTGGGCCGGGGCATGGTCCCACCGCACCTCAACGGGAGACACAACAAAGAATGGTCCTCTTTATATCGATTTGCGATTGTTTGAGGCCACAGCGTCCGGTGATGATGATGTGGTGAATCGAGTGGCGAGGTGCGTTTCGAAACCAGCAACATCAACAACCTCAGCCTACAGAATCTGGTATGGCAAAAAAGAAAAGACCTTACTGCTGGAGATGCAAATGTAGTGGACATTCTAATGAGGAGTGCAGAGCTGACCTTGATTGCATCATATGTAATAAGAAGAACTCGCATCTATCATGGAAATGTCCAATTTTGAAGATGCCAAAACCACATGCTAATTTTTTTGGCTCTGGTAAGAAGGAATTTGGTTTCTTGCGGATCCTTGATATTGACTACAAATTAGAGACACCTGATCCAGCTCCTACAGCATTGGTCAAGGTGACAGGTAGTAAACTATCAGCAGCCGTGGTTCAGTCTGAATTGGCGAAAATCTCACGGGCGGATTGGACGTGGGAGGCCTTGCCCCATGAGGAGGATTCATTCCTTGTGGCCTTTCCGTCAGATGAGGAGATGCAGCAGATGGCATCCATTAATTATCATCTAAAGAATCATGGTGTCACGATAACTATTTCAGCATGGCAAAGCTCTAGTGACGTGAAACCCACTTATCAGTTGGAAGAAATTTGGGTGCACATCACAGGTGTCCCTCATGCATGGAGGCACTATCTTGTCTTTTGGGCTTTGGGTACAGTGATTGGCACCACGCTGGAGGTAGATATGTCCACTTACAGAAAAAGGGGTCA